GTGACAAGTAATCAACATGTTAACATATAGAAAGCTAATTAACCACTAAATCATGGACAAGTCCGACATAAACACATCAGCTAGCACTTTAGCTATATAGAAAGCTGACATCAAAAGGCTAAATCCTCTAGCTAGCACTCTGCCTCAATGAACTAACTTCAGAACCTTTGCCCGGCAAAGCCACCGCTGGCACCGCCGCTGGCACCGCTGACTCCGTCACCGACGATCGCCGTCCACGGCACCTCCACGGCGGATCGGTCCACCATGGGTAAGGACTTCCTTTCAACGGAGTTCCGCGGCGCGGATCCGAAGGAGTTCCGCGCGGAAAGGGGTTCCGAAAAATGAGCGTTCGACGGAAGGAGTGGGAAAGGAGTCCGAGCCAGGCGAAGAAGACTCCCAGATCCAGCTGGGTTGAAGTGTCCCACACGCCGAACAGTGTTTGGTGCTAGGTGGTGCCGCGGTGCCAGGAAAATTCTGGGTACGTGCCGAAGCTACTTAACATGACCGGTACGGGGTCAGGTTGGCCCTTCCAGGGTTCGGGGAACACACCAATCAAACAAATGTGTTTTTTTGTAATAGGACCCGTCACCTGCGGCACCCAAGTGGGATAGTCTCTAGGGTTCTTCAATCTCTGTTGGATTCACAGGGTTCGGACGACTGTTTGGTGGAGAGACGGCATGTCCAAAACCCGGAGATTTGTTCAGCCTTGTCTTTGTCGAGGAGCTCTATTTGTGTCTATTGAGTGGATCCAACAGGAACGGTTCAGAGACATATTCTTTTACACATAGTGCTAACCAGGATCCACTAATCTAGTGGGAATGCTAGACAAACAATGCTCAGTAGGAAGCCAACCAAAGGAAAACGATAAGCTCCTCAATGGGTGCATCTGGACATGTTGACCCTAAAACATCACTGCACAAAGGAACAAAAATATATCGATATGTAGTCTGTAGATAGATAGATAGATAGATAGATAGATAAATAGATAAGATAGATAAGATAGATAAGATAGATAAGATAGATAAGATGTATAAGATGTATAAGATGTATAAGATGTATAGGATAGATACGATAGATAAGATAGATAAGATAGATGTATAAGATGTATAAGATGTATAAGATAGATAAGATAGATAAGATAGATCGTATAGATGGGATAGATAGGATAGATAGGATAGATAGGATAGATAGGATAGATAGGATAGATAGATAGATAGATAGATAGGTAGATAGGTAGATAGGTAGATAGATAGATTAGATAGATTAGATAGATTAGATAGATTAGATAGATAAGATAGATAAGATAGATAAGATAGATAAGATAGATAAGATAGATAAGATAGATAATATAGATTATATAGATTAGATAGATAAGATAGATAAGATAGATAACATAGATAATATAGATAACATAGATAAGATAATATAGATAAACAATATAATATAAACACGATAATATAAACTAGAGAAAAACACAACAAAAATACATAGCTAAATAAATAACTATACACATGACGTTGACAATTGAAAGTCATTGGGGTGCTAGTGTGACAGCATGCGGCCACATGACACGTACATTACATTGGACAACACTGAATTTGTCTTACAATGTCTTACATTCAAAACCTATCCATGGAAATGGCAGCAGGAACCTTGCCCTTTCCCACACCTCACCGACGGCAACATGTAGCGCCAAGGGTCTTCCATCCTCTTAGGAGCTCGTTGCATTCCTGCCAACCAGAATCACCAAGCTCGGATTACATTTCAATTTGGTTCACCAGCTGTTACATTCGGGTTACATTTTGCCCAACTCTCAGGAAAAAAACACATCCGGATCACACAGCGCAAAGTGACACATCAGCGTGGAGAGACCGTGGGAAAGCCGACGTACCCCGAATGATACTTTGGTCTGTGCTTTTCCTTCCCTGAAGAAGTTGAGAGAGACCACTGGCTGAATGAACGTGCTTGTTTGAATGTTTGGCTTTTCGGGGACAGTGAGCCTGCGAAATTGTTGGGCAAAACAGGTGAGTGACCAGGGTCCCGGTCCCACCTCTCCAGGAGATTCTGGATGCTTCTGCCATCTTCTGCCCACAAAAAACATCTGAATTTCCACAAGGGGCCAACCTCTGATCAAGCCAACCAGTCTGGTAATATGGACTGTTGATGAATAGGCCTCCACGGTCCACACATGAACATGTATATAAACCAACCTCTCATATATGAGGGGGTTGATTCATCAACCTTAGGTCATCCCATTCCCAGTAACAACGAATGATGGTGGCTAGGTGGCCTGTATCAATAAGAGACCACCTTGTATCAAAGGTTACTGGTTTGCTGGGACACACTTGATATCACTTGATTAATCAATTGTCGACATTTGCTGGTTATTCTATGTTTTACATGCGACATATTTTTGTCTCTGAAGGCAAATCCATCGCCGCCGTTTTCCAGTTCAGGCTTTGTCTACATTTGCTGCAGCCGTCCTGGATCTTGATCCTTTTTGTTCGATCATTGTTGTGAAACTGTGACCAACGTAGGAATTATATAATGCAACTGTCCTTGTAGGTCTTGGGATTGCATTTCCAGTTTCCACCCACGATGAACTTCCGAGCCTCAGGGCGCGTGCTGTCTGTCCGCGCTGCTAAAACCGGTCACCGCAGTGGAAAAGCCGTGGTGACCGTGGTGGTGGTCGTTGTGACGCAAACGTTGTAACCGATCCTGTTTTGCTGCTTGCCCAGAATGGCGTTCAAAGGAACAACTCACTCGCGAGATCATCTTGAAACACAAAGCCGCTTGGGCCAGGAGGTCTGCTGATACGGGGGCTCCTAGTAGCGATGGCCTCCACCTAGTAGCTTCTTGCTACTATAAGTTCTAAGTCTCCTGATACTGCTTCATCCAATCGTCTCACGCCACTTGCCGCCCACGCCCCGAGTGCCACACCATTGGGGCCGAGTCGGATGCGGATAAAACGGCCGCCTGCGGCAGCGAACGTCGTGGTATAGACGACGGTCTCGATGGGTGGAACTTGAGAGACCTTGGCCAAGTTCTTTGAGCAATTTATAGACCATCAAAACCTCAATCTTCTCATCTTCCCCCATCACGCAAACGGAACACCAACAACATGATTCTCTTGCTTTCGGTGGACCGCTCCAGTGTGCAAGTATGCCAAGCGTTTTTGTGTTTGGCCACGTGTTCCATGTCCAAAGGACCTGTTCGGATGGTTTTGGTTGGCTTCGCCGGGGTCATTTCCAGCTGCATGCGGTCCACCCCCCTCCTCTGCCTCCCCCGTGAGGTCCCGTGAGTGCCAAAGGGGTCAGTGCGTCGAAGGGTAGCTCGAAAGCCCGGAACCCGGGCTGATCCGCTCGTCGCGGAAAGAGGAGCGGAAGAACTCTAAGGGATTTTTCATTTGGAAAGGGTTCTCAGGGGTCAAACCCATGCTATGGAGGGTCTAAGGGCTCCCTGGGAGTCAAAGACTACAAAAAAATAGCTCTGACTGGAGGACCAGAAAGTAAGTTCCCTTTACTTCACTGAGGCAAGATCATAGGGTCTTTCGACTTCTAAGGTGTAGACGGTCAACGGTATTATATCATGTATACATACATACATGCATAGAAAACAAATACAAAGAATGTAGAACAACCCTACGGCTCCACATCCGAAGTCCAAGGTGGACTGGGGGGTTGGTTTTGGGGGATCAGTCCCTCCTTGCAGTGTTCTGGAGACAGGGGGGTCTTATTCATCAACAGATTGCATGGAACTTGCAAAAAAAACATCCGAGATCCTCCGAGCAACAGTTCCAACCCCAAATGGAGGGTGTAACCTGACAGTCTTTGCATCAATACCCAATGTCTTTCCCATGCGCCGCCTCGCAGAATGCTTCAGCAAAGCAGGCTTGAGCCGCCGACGGGCAAAGCAGGGCGCGCTTCTTCTTCGACTTGCAAACAGCCATTGGCTAAACCATCTGAAACACAACCTTTTTTGATCTTTTTTGTAGTGGTTCTCTCTTCCCCTTTTTTGTTTCTCTCTCTCTCTCACCTTCAAACCGATATTCCTGCCCCAGCTAGGTTAGGGGGCTTTCGATGCTTTCTTCTAGTGGTGGGACTGAGGTACATTTACAGAGTTGTATATATTAGCAAAAGTAACTTCAAGCGTATGGGACACCAGCAAGAATTGTGGATCTCCCCATCACATACACATCCCGGCGAGTGCTTCAGCCTGCGTTCAAGTCAACACACAATGCACACTTGACTTGTGTTGGTTCCTTCACACGGGTTGCCTATATATGATTGCCAACCACTGATACGTAAAACGTGTGGTGTCAAATCGATGGATACCAGGTATACAGGACTGCGCAGCACTGACAGGACTGCGTTGCTCGTCACAAAAAAGGACTACATCCCATGTTCCTCTATCTCACGCCCAACTTCGGTAGTTCATCCTCCGAACAGCTTCCATGTCAGGCTAACTTTGGTCGGTCAGTAAGAGTTCCAAAGAATTTGGATCTTAAATCTGCATATGTCCTCTGTTCGAAGCTTCACAGGTAAGGCCACGAATGCATGGGTCAACACTAAATCACTACAGTAATTATATACATATATATTATATATATACAGTATATCAAACAAACAGCAAGCAAGTATAAGCAAGCTCCAATTCTTCAAATGGAATCAACCTGTTCAATGAACCACTGTGCTGCCTTTCATCACGATGACGCTCTCGCGGCTTAGTGACATGGCGCAAGAAACGAAGGGTGAGACAGCTACCAGCATGAGTCTCTTCATCAATGAGATCGGGCCCACCACCTGAAACTTCGAACAACTCTTGCTCTACGATCTTTATCAGGATTCGTGGATCCACCTTGCATTGCCGGAATGCTATAAGAAATCTCTGCAAGCTCTGAGGCACATTGAACTGCCCGACTGGCGCTTGAAATCTAGATGATAGATGGATGATCTGCTTGGAACCCAAACGATTCTCCCTGTCAAACTCTGTCATATGAATCCTAGAAGCGAAGCCACCAGCGACTTCTGACCACCAACCACCCACCCAAAATCTGGAGCAAAGATCTGCCCTATCTGCGAAGCTCTCGACTCCAAACACTCTGAGCTGCTCCGAACCTCTCAGCGTACCCTTTTTGGCCTTCCAAAGACCGCCTTCACATCATATCAACGTCCTGGTGTAGAACCCTCAGTCAATCCATATAGTTCTTCTTTTTGGGGCCTAGCCTGCCTAGCCTATTTCCATTCATGCTGCTTGGAATCCCCCCAAAACTGGGGGAGTTTCCGTCCCAACGCTCGCCTCACTCGGAGTCCGTCTCGTAGACCGGCGCATCCAGTACCACGTCGGAGAAGTCGGTGCGCCAAGCGTCAGTGCCCACCTGCCGCCGGTGTCTCGACCGGTCTAGCGCTCGAAGCGGAGGGGAGGGGAGGATGGATAGACTTATACACCATCCATATAGAAGGGTGCTGTGTGCCAATGGTGTAAGTAATAAGTGGCTTCTGGACGTATGCGCAAGCTGCTGGACGTCTCACTTTCAAGCGTTGGACTGTGTGCCAGTCATGAGAATCATCAGTGATCATCAGGAAACCCTGCGCACACTGCACCAGGACCAGGTTCAAATCGCTGTGCAAGGCAGCTGCAATCTCTTTGTTGGCCATGCCCGCCGACCCCAGCAAGAGCGAAGTGTTTGTTGGAGTCAGCTTGGACGCAAACAAATACCAAACCCTATATATAGCAAATCAAGTGGATCAATTAATTAATTGTATCTGATCTGCATGTAAATTCTCTTGTGCCAAATTGACTCATGTGACATATGCAAATGTCTTTGCCATTGTTCCCTTTTCATCACAAGGGACGTTTAGTTGTTGATGAGGGATCGAGGGGTTGAGCGCGTACGTAGTCGAGTGCGTACGCAGTAGACTTGTGCCTGTTAGAGGTGGACACTGACAGGCGGTGTCTTCTCTGAAGCAGAAGAGGTGGTGAGCGGTGAGAGTTCAATGCTTTCCGTGTTGATGAGGCACCAAGAATCCCCCGTGTTAATGAGGCTGCCACGGATTTCTTGTTTGTGCCATTGCATGGAGTACTTCTTTTGGGAGCTTCCAGTCCATGTGATCAAAGCTGGCCAAAAAGAATCTGCTTCCAGGATTCCACAGGAGATTCGTCATCGTCAAAGGGTTTGAGGGCATCTCGAAATAGCAATGTATACGTGATGACCCCGAACATCTTGATTTAGATTACACACTTTTATACAAAACTTCAGCTTCTTATCCATAGCTCGACATCGCCCACCTCGAAGTGGCTCTCCACTGGCTCCTTCCTCACCACTTCTTCCACCACATCCTTCCGGCGGCGTCGCGGCGAGGGCGGAATCGCGCCCCACCACTCAAAGCGAGAACGTCCAGTGACTGCCACAGCAGCGTGGCGTAGATAGCAACATCCCCAAGTTAGTTGGTTTAAATGGATCCCCATATTAAAAAAATGACAACAAACACATCTTGGGGTGCCCGTGCCATCTACGCTGAAACCACTGTATAGGAAGCCAGGCTTTTGAGGCTGTACATGCAAAGAGCTTTCTGAACATCTGAGGACGACAAGTGGCGCGCGTACCGTTTTGCAGCAAGGCCTTTGGAATGGTTCCGTTTGTTGGGGAAACACATCACCGGGTGCACCTTTGAGAAGATCATGTTTGGGTGCAAAGGCATGTGGGAAGTCGTCCCCTTGAGGGTTCCTTACTAAGCTTCGCCAAAGCGGCTCACCTGAGATGGTTTTTGGGTGGGTGCCAGGGGGGGTTATATAACCACCTGCTGAAACATATTTGTGGGTTTGGTGGACCAATGTGAACCCAATGAACACCGCCTTCTCAAACACTGACGGAGCTGGAGGCAGCGCTGGACAGATCGAACAAAATGAAGCAAAAGACACACTAAGCTTAAGCTCGCCTTGGCCGTATTTTTGAGGCTACCCCATGTCTATGGTGTTTAATTGTTTTGTTGGGTGCAAGATGGTGCAAGTGACCTGAACCCTTTTTCCGTTTGTGGCGCAAGTCTCCACAAGAAGCTTGCAAGTAAATAGCAGTAGGTTTGCGCTACCGATCCGGTGCGGTTGGATTCTGCCGTGTGTTCACTCATGCCCCTCTAAGCCTAGCTGCCTGGCCCCAAATAACGTTAACCATTGTGATCAATTGTGCAAGGAAAAGCTGGGCCAGGCTGGCATGTTTTTTCAATATCCACGTTGCAATTCCGAAAGCCCCTGGAAGCGGAATAATATGCATGAGTGTCCTACCGAATATCATCCATGTGATTCAACCAGCATTGTGATAGTGTTGACAACAGTTTCGCATTTTCAACACTTTACCCATATTCTCCGCAGTTCCAGGGGAAATAATTGATACTCGGAAAATTTCGGAAATTATATCATGGATCTTCCAGCTCCAAAGCCCCGCCTCCAAACCACCTACACAACCACACACACTCTGGTCGTCACGTTTGGAAGTGGATGGCACCATCTATGGCACCACCGCACCACCTGTTGGGGGATGAAACATGGATCATCTTATTCGTCATGTTACATCCAAACCAAAGTAACCATGTTTGTACATTTCAGGACAGTCGAAGTACCCCAACAAAAAACACTGCCCGTGCTTCTAAAAACCATGGCTTCAACGTAACATCCCCCCCAGCCCTGCATATACTTTACAGCCATCGCGACCCGCTGGAAGAAAGGACATAGACCAAAGACCATTTTGGGCCAGGGGGCTCCCTATTACACACCCCAATGAATTCCCTAAAAACACCGTTGGATCTCTGAGACTGCTTCCTGTGATCTCCGGAAACGCCGCACTCGCTCCGTCTGTCTCGCTCCTGGGGCCGCTGCACCAGCGGGTCCTTGGGGGGGAACTCCGGCGACAGGTGCGGGTGCCTCGGTGTGACCAGGACCGGTGCCTAGCGGAGACCCATCAGGTAGGGCGCGGAGACCCAGTGGAGCTGGTGCTGGTAGACTGGTGGACAGGTGGACAACACATGGACAAACATGGGAGAGTGACACTTTGGTGGTACCTGCGCAGAGTCGGTGAAGTAATTACATCGAAGTGGATGGCATGGCCCTAACAGGATGAGCTTGTACTCCGGACCCTGAGGCAAGTCACGCTGTTATGATATCCAGTTTTCCGAGATCCAACATGATCCAACCACATCCCCAGGAGGTAGGGGACGTCCCCTAAACCACCCACAGGAGTCCCACCTTCGACTTGGGAGATGGTTTGGAGTCCCTCCTTAGGCCAGGTGCCCGTTGATGCAAAAGTTCTTCCACTGTGTCAAAGCCCCAAGTGTGGTGGCTCGGGCATCCAATAGCCCATGCTCCAAGAGGCTCGTCCCTAGCTAATGATCAATTCCAGGTTTGCCAAAGGCAAACAAATTTGATGAAACGAATACCAAAACATCTTCACCAATGTGTGAAACCGTGACAATGTCCAGACTGTGACTAGGCAGCACTTGCCTGCATGGCAATCTTGCTTTTGGCAACTAGACGTCCCACCCAAAGCAGGGACCTTGGGCGGGAG